TAAATAAGAATTTACAAAACATACGCTTTTCCCTAAAGTACATTATTTTGACAAATTTTTTTGCATCAATTTCTGAATTTAGTAAAATTTCTGATTCATATTAGTGTTGGAAAAAATAAAATTTAAATTAACTGTCTATAAAACTGTTGTTGGCTTAATAGCATAAACTATGAAATTACACAACGTTTCTTTTATCCATTTAATTAAAATCTAGTTTTTTGACAAAAAAATTGCCACAAGTGGGTCAACTATTCCGAATTAATTTTCCTAATTCACTCTTAATTAACCGTTCCCTTGCCCTTGTTTACTCCATTCGCATTCATTCACAACCAATCCCTCGACACATCCTATCTGAAAATCACGCATTAATAAAATTACAACGTTTCCTCATTCGGGAAAATGTCCAAGCCGAGTGAAATTCCTCCTCCGAATTTCTTCAAAAAAGTGCGAAACTACTTCAGAGAATATTGTTTGTGTACGAGCATCCATGGCTTCCGCTATTTTGGCGAAAAACGCACCATTTTCGAGCGGTAAATCCCCCAGAATTGTCACTATTTTTAACAAAATGTTGTAGTGTTTGGTGGTTTATTAATTTCGTGATTTGTCTCGCCGGTTGTGTGTATTTCATCTACGGGGTGTACAAAAAATGGGACACTAGTCCGGTAATTGTCACTTTTGCGACGACCGGAACTCCGATTTTCGATATCCCGTTTCCATCGGTGACGATTTGCCCGGAGTCGAAGTCAGTCCAGAGCATTTTTAACTACACAAAAGTGCTTCAGATGAAAGAAGATGGGATTAATGTGACCCAAATCGAGTAATTTTTACGATTACACAGAGCGACAAAAAAAAGTCATGTCGTGACAACTTGACAAATTTTATACCATTTTGTTCATCTCAGTGAGACAAATCAAATGCACTAAAAAAATTTCAAAAAGTCCACACACTTTGAACTAAATAATTTTTTTTCTAATTTTAACGAATTTAAAACACTTTAACTTTAAAAAATCATTACTTAATAACTATTAGGCCGATTTTCTTCAAATAAAGACCATTCTAAAGGGATGGGCTTGCCCTTTAGGATGATATGAAATTTGAAATTGAATATTGGCAAACTTTTCTTCGAACTGTGTTCGAAGAAGTTCGAGTAAATCGAAATTATCTAAGAAAAACCTTACGAGTAATTTTTTTTTCATCATTACCATCGTGTAGAGCATCTCTTTATTAGTTGTAATCCAAATTTTCAAAAGAATATACCGAGTAGTTTTCAAGATATGATTTTTTGAAGTAAAGGTTTGCTAACATTGCTCCATATGTTAATCTTACTTAAAATTGCATTTTTATAAAGGTATTTGTTTTAAGACTCTTCTTTTCCTTAAAAATGGTCAATTGCACCTTCTTTGTTCTAATTAGAATAAACAAAAACTGTTTCTTTACTTAAAACAAACAAAAAGTACCTGCGTACTAATTAAAGCAAATAAAGAGTTTTTTTGTTGTAAAAATGACCACTGATCATTGAGCAAAGAGGATCTAGAAGTTTAAAGCACGATCCTTAAATATAAGGGCAAATCTTTTTCAAATCAAATCACTTTCCTTTCAGATTTCGACTTGTTCACTTTGTTCTAGCTTTCTGAACTTTTTTTGAAAATGTTCTGAGCAAATGCTTTCTCATCACTTTCGAGTGATGTTAAATGCAATAAGTCACCTTATTTATTTTGTTGCTACATTCTACAATTAGCTTCAGTCAGTTTGTAGGTAGTAGTTGTTGTGATAACAGTTGCACACGAAGCAACTGTCTTATTGCATTCAACATCAGTAGAAAGTGATGAAAAAGCATTTGCTGAGAACATTTTCAAAAAAAGTTCAGAAAGCTAGAACAAAGTGAACAAATTGGAATCGGAATGGAAAGTGATTTAATTTGAAAAAGATTTGTTCTTATATTTAAAGCTACTGCTTTAAACTGCTAGATCCTTTTTGCTCAATGATCTGTGATCATTTTTAGAACAAAAAAACTCTTTATTTGCTTTAATTAGTACGCAGGTACTCTTTGTTATTCTTTGTTTGTTTTAAGTAAAGAATCAGTTTTTGTTTATTCTAATTAGAACAAAGAAGGTGCAATTGACCATTTTTAAGCAAAAGAAGAGTGTTAAAACAAATACTTTTATAAAAATTCAATTTTAAGTAAGATTAACATGCATTTCTCCCATATGGCGCAATACCTGAATAGCAAACCTTAACTTCAAAAAATCATATCTTAAAAATTACTCGGTACATTATTTTAAAAATTTGGATTCTTACTAATAAAAAGATGCTCTACACGATGGTGACAAAGAGAAAAAAATTACTCGTAGGGTTTTTCTTAGATTACTTCGATTTACTTCGAACTTCTTCGAACACTGTTCGAAGAAAAGTTTGCTAATATTCAATTTCAAATTGCATATCATTCTAAAGGGCAAGTCCATCCTTTTAGAAGATTCTTTATTTGAAGGAAATCGGCCTTATAGTTATTGAGTAATGATTTTTTAAAGTTAAAGGATTTTAAATTCATTTAAATTAGAAAGAAATTATTTAGTTCAAAGTGTGTAGACTTTTAAAAAATTTTTTTAGTGCATTTGATTTGTCTCACTGAGATGAACAAAATGATATAAAATTTGTCAAGTTGTCACGACATGACTTTTTTTTTGTCGCTTTGTGTTATTTGATTCTTTTTTGATTTTTTATTGTAGAAATACAAATTTTGCGTATTTGTCACTATTGTGTGACCTTCGAGACGACCAATTTTATTCCAAATTCACCGATTACAAATATACTTATTCTGATGATTTTTTCAATGTTATTAACACGGTTAAGGCCAAATTTGACATCCAAGATTGTCGGTATATGGGCCTGAGTCACAACTGTAAGAACCTTTTCACCCCAATTTTGACAGATGAGGGGGTTTGCTACACGTTTAATATGCTTGACCGGAGTGAAATTTTTAATGAGGAAGTGTAAGTCCTTTTGGTTGTTTTTTCAAAAAAAATGGGTTTTTTCAATGGTTCATTACCGTGATTATCACCATGTTGGGCGCGTGTCCCATCAATGGACCATGAAGGATGGGTACACCCAAGACGCTGGGATATACGCGTATCCGCGACGGGCCCTTTACGCCGGTGCTACCAATGGTCTAACTTTCAATATTTTGACTCAGAAGGAGGACTTGGATTATGCTTGTACCTCGATGCAGGGATATAGGGTTTTGTTGCATACTCCCATAAGGTTGCCCAGGCCTAGTCAACAGTATTTTCAACTCCCCTTGGATCAGAGAGTTGTCGGTGCGATTCATCCTCTTATGATTACGACTTCCGAATCGGTGAAGAAGTTTCGACCGGAAAAAAGGGAATGTTACTTTCCGACTGATCGGAAGTTGAAATATTTTAAGATATATTCGGCGTTGAATTGCATGATGGAATGTCTTACGAATTATACGTTGGATGTGTGTGGGTGTGTCAATTTTTTCATGCCAAGTAAGGTTTCAATTTTATTTACACAATTCCAAACGAATTTTTTTTTTATTTTAGTTCATTTATTTATTTTATTTACCTTGTGTTTGAAAGCTCTATTCTTATGCTTCAGAAATTTTATTTTTGTGTTTCTTCAACGTTTTATGCAGTTTTTTTGAGTCTCTTAGACTCCCAAGAGTGTATTTGGATCAATTTTCAAGTTTCCATTTTTTATTTTTGTCAAATTTTGTTAAATTTTTGATGGCTTTTTTACTCTTACTTCTAGAAGACTATATTTTAAGCGTTTTCGAGACTTAAGGTAAATCTCAAGGTTTCCCAAGGTTCAATTTTAAGGTTGTCAATTTTTTTTATTTTTGGCGAGATTTTGGACAGTTTTTATAGTCTATTGCTAATAACTCCCGAATTATTGGCGCCAGTTCTTTATCTTTGGCACCGTTGAAAAGTACATTTCATTTTCTATTATATACAAAAAAAGATTTTGTCCTACGATAAATAGTTATTGAGAAAATTGTTGATTAAATCAAAATATTCAAAATATAAATTCGACTATACAAAGTGTTAAAAAAAGATTGTAAAATATTTAAGGATGTAATAGTATGAACCCAAATTCATAAAAAAGTTTTAATAGAGTTGGGTCCGCAAAGAAACGGGTTCGGAGATAAACTAAATGTGAAAATTTTTAGAATTTTTACTAGAAGCTTCTTTTTTTGCTTGAACAGACTGATAAATGTTTCAAAAAACGAATAATTTTTAGGATTAATTTTCTGAAACCGTTAATTTATGTTGTTTATTAAGACTTTTTTGTTTGTTTTGGTTTAAACTAATACTTCCCAAAGTATTTTACAATATTTTTTTAACACCTTATATAACTTCTAAACTTTTGCGAATTTTGGAGTTTTCTCCAATCGATTATCATTTTACATAAACTTCAAAACATTGTAACTTTTGAGGTACAATTTTGTCCCAGCTTACGAAAATTAAATAAATAGGGACGGTTTTTGGGTCCCAAAATTTAAAAAATTTGTACTATACAGGGTGCGCCAGAACTCGCGTCCCAGAGAAAAAAGCCATGTAAGATAAGATACCAGGAACATAGAAAAAATGTTGAAAAAATTCTATCTATTAAAATTTCGAAGTTATAAGAGTTTAGATTTTGCACTTTGACTTTATTTATTTCTGTTGGAAAAATATTTTTTATTTTTTTTGCTACAGGCTATTAGAAGAGGAAACAAGGAAGCTGTATCTTAAAATGTAACTTTGTTAAATGTTATTTGTGGCTTTTATTGGCAAAATTTTTGTATTTTTACTAAATAATTATAAATAAACATATCAAGATCATCTGTATCATTAAATAGACATAAAAAATGTCAAATGTCAAAAAAATAAATGCCAAATTTTTTTGACAGATAGAATTTTTTAAACATTTTTCCTGGTATCTAATATTACTCCAAATTTTTCTCTGGGGCGGGAGTTCTGGCGCACCCTTTATAGTGCTCCTAATAAGTAGGATTAAAACTTATTAAGATACAAAATTTTACTTGATGTTTTGATATTTTACGAAAAAAGCTCTCATGCTTTGCTCTTTTGCTTATGCTTCTTATACAGGGTGTTAAAAAAAGATTGTAAAATATTTAAGGAGGTAATAGTATGTACCAATATAAACAAAAAAGTCTTAAATAAACATGGATCCACAAAATAACGGTTTCGGTATTATTTAAAAATAAAAAAAAACATGTGTTTCGTGATTATTTTAAAAACTGTAAGGGATGGATATAGGACATGTTGATAAAAGTCCTTCTACAAATTGATGTACTTTCGATTACAGTTGAGAAAGTAGTCATTTCATTTGAAAAAACTTAGTTTTATACCTGTTTGTTAATCATTATTTTTAAAGAAATCACACTAGCCTTGCAATTTGACGGTTGACACTTTTGAAAATTCTAGAAAACTCTTCGAACCTTTGGTTATAGAATGCAAATAAATTATTCACTTCAAGAGCTTTGCAAATGAAAATTTTGACAAAAAATTGACATATGTCAAAAACTATGACAGTTAAGTACTAACAACTAGGTACATTTTACTCAGTTTAAAGAGGGGAATTCAAAAATGCAATAAGAATAAGTAAATAAGTGTAATTTGTGTAAATAAGTAAATAATTTCTCGTAGTTTCGGAGGTTCAGCCATTTTGAAAATAGTTTAGTTGAATTCAAACTGGTCGATTTGGTTTGCATACAAAATTTCAAATTCTTATCTACATTAGAAGTTAAAAAGTTTCTAATTTAGGCCCTAGGAAAAATTTTTTTGTCTTTGATTTTACGCCAAAACTGCATAGGAAAAAAGCTTTTGCTTTACTTGAAACCAGCAAATCTGTAATTAAAACTTCAATATTCTAACTCAGTAGAAAGAAAAGTTCATTTTTCTCTTGATTTTGGACTTGAATATTTTTTCTCTGCTGTTCAAAATCAAAAGAAAAATGAACTTTTCTTTCTATTAAGTTAGAATAATGAAGTTTTAATTACAGATTTGCTGGTTTCAAGTAAAGCAAAAACTTTTTTTCCTTTGCAGTTTTGGCTTAAAATCAAAGATAATTTTTTTTTCCTCTTGTATCCATATGAAATTTTTAAATTTTGTGTTTTTACAATTTTTCATACATTTTTAGGCCCATTTCGATCAATTTTGAAGTTTTCAATAATTGATTTTTAACGAGTTTTGGTCTATTTTTGGGACCTAGAATTATTGGTGATAACTTTTTAGGTTTGATACCGTTGGAAAGCATATTTTATTTTCTATCTTCTAAAAAGCGTTTATTGTTCTGTGAAAAATAGTTATTGAAAAAAATGCTAGTAAAAAAAGCAAAATTAGTCAAAATTTATATTTAATTATAACTTCTAAACTATTGTGAACTTTGACAAAATTAAAAACAAAAACGAAAATTTAGGTATTTTCTAGTAGTGCTAGTATTTGAAAACTATAGAATATCGATTTTTTTTTAAACTCGATTTCTGTGTTTGTAGAAACTTAGTAGTGGAAGTCACAGTTTGGTTCATTTTGAAATTTTTTGAAAATTCTAATTATGCCCTGAATCAAGGTTTTTTAGGAGAAAACGGGACAAAAATTTGCGGTACCGGCTATATTGATTGCCTGATCTACGCTGAAGGTACTGTTTTTTAAATTTCACTTATCCTCAAAACCAGAGATAAATTTTAGCTGCAATGCAAGTGAAGCACCTCAAAAACCAACTCAATCAAACGAAACTCCAGAAAAGCCCCGGTCTTGACGTCGACTGTAATTGTTTACCAATTTGCGACGACCTCACTTACGAAGTCGACATTTCGCAGAGTAACTGGGATTGGGAAAAACAGAAAGCTGCCCAAAGACAGAAATACCAAAATTACAGCACTGAAAAGTATGTTCCTTGAAATCACTACAAAATTCAAATTTGACCAATTCCAGGACACACATGTCCTCATTGACCATTTATTTCGACACAAATAGTTTCATCAGATCGCAACGCAACGAGCTTTACGGCCCGACGGACTTTTTGGCGAATTTTGGCGGGCTTTTGGGGCTTTTCACCGGATTTTCTATACTCTCACTGCTGGAAATTATTTATTTCTTGTCTGTTAGAATGATTTGTAACTTGTATTTGTATGGATTTTGGGCAGGGCCTCAAACTTAAATAATATTAATAAATAAGGCTCGGATTATATGCAACATGCATATTTGTTATTAAGAGGTATATTAACAAAATTGTAAGTTTTCTATGCATATCTTATATTTTTTGATTAAAATAAGCCAATTAAAAAATGCATATTTTGGCACCTTCGTGCATATTTTAGAAAATAATGCATATTTGTGCATATTTTTTTCAAATCACAAATTTCCCATGAAAAATTTTAGTTCAAGTTAAAATTGGCCAGTTTAAGAAAAATGATCCGATTACAAAATATGTTAAAGAGAAGACAACCAGTAATTCGTAAGCGGACTCAAAGAATTAGTCTCCTGTTGAGTGTTTTCTTTTTAAATTCGTTTTATACAGGGTGAATATGTAGTTAAAAACCAAACGGTTTTTTTTTAATTATTTGCCTCTGGAAAATAATAATTGATATAAAATAAAGTAATATAAAAATCTGTTCGTATTTTCAAAACGAAATTTTGTTTTGCTTTCAGTTATGCGATTTTTTTGTCAAAATTGTAATTTATGTATTTTTTTTTAATTAATAAAAAGTAGATAGTCTCTAACACAGTTGTTTTTGGGAGAGTATACAAAACATTTTTAGTGGGTTGCCATTTAGAAAAATGAAAATTTTTGTAGAACTCAAAAACGAAAAAAAAAATCGAAAAATTTTATTCTTGATAAAACATCAATTAGTTTTTAAAAAAATAAATAGTTTAAGCAAAAAATGTTTGATTCCATACTTTCTATTCACCTGGTATAAAATAAATAATAAATATAAAAATAAATAATAAAATAAATAATAAATCCTTCTATATGGATAAGTAGTTGCCTGCAAATGAATTTTAGCAAAATTGTTTAAAGTGATGTGATATGAAAAGTACAGATTTCTTAGAAAGGCTTAATTACTAGGTTATTAAAATAGCTTGTCTGAGGCAAAACCAATTTATTTATTCTCTTTCGTTCATCGTGTGCGGTTCTAAAATTATGAAAATAAAAACTTTAGTGTACTCGAGGATAAAAATTTATTCTAACTTTGATTTTTTATTGTTAAAAGTTTTGCATATCCATGCATATTTGGCATATATTCGAGCATATTTCTTAATATTTCGTGCAATAAATATCTATGCATCACATGTTTGGTTTTATTATTTTCTTCCTTGTAATTTAATACTTTGCCCAGCCTCGAATTCTAATTAATTTGTTGATGCGTTTGTGTTTACGCATAAACAGGATAAAGCCGGAGTCTTTCAGTCATTGGCGGACTCTCCGGAGGATTGAATAATGGAAGTGGATCACACCCGGAAATATTTTTTTGAGAGTGTGAGGAATTATTTCCGGGAGTATTGCGAATGTACGAGCATCCACGGGTTTAAATATTTTGGCGAAAAGCGGACGATATTTGAAAGGTGAGTTTAAAAATTTAGTTTTTTATTTAATTAAATTAGGATTTGGTGGTTTGTCATTTTCCTGATGTGTCTCACCGCTTGCTCAATCTCAATCTACGCCGTTTACAAAAAATGGGATTTAAGTCCGGTGATTGTGACTTTTGCCACGAGGGAAACCCCGATTTACAGCATCCCGTTTCCGGCAGTCACCGTGTGCCCGGAGTCGAAGTCCATACAAAATATCTTTAATTACACGAAAATCCTCCAAATGAAAGAAGACAAAATTTCGCTAACTAATCTCGAGTAGGTCTACAATTAATTACTCCCAATTATTTAATTATTTTCAGAAACAAGCAATTCGAATACTTGTCTCTCATTTGTAATTACCGTAAATTAAATTACACAAATAATTACACATATCCGGAAGAATTTTTCAACGTTGTTGATCAAGTCAAACCGGACTTTAAGATACAGGATTGCCACTACATGGGGAAACCTCTGACCTGCAAAAATATTTTTACCCCGATTATCACGGACGAGGGGGTTTGCTACACCTTTAATATGCTCGATAAGAGCGAGATTTTCCGAAAAAACGTGTAAGATTTTTTTATTAGAAAAATTCTTAGTATAAAAAGTTGGTAAGAAAAAATATACACAATTCTGTTTTTATACTTATTTATTAAACAATTTTTAATATCTTTTTTACATGTTTAATGGGTGCTTTAACAGCAAATCCGCAATTTTTAGAGTCCATTACTCTTAATTTTTTTTAATAATAATAACAATGATAAAAAAGTTGCTAAGAAAATATATACAATTCTGCTTTCATACTTATTTATTAAACAATTTTTAATATCTTTTTTACATGTTTAACAGGTGCTTTAAGAGCAAATCCGCAATTTTTAGAGTCCACTTTTCTTAAATTATTAAAAAAATAATAATAACAATGGTAATAAAGTTG